ATAGTGGGAAGCAGCTGCATAGCACAGGGAGATCAGCTCGGTGCTTTGTGACCACCTAGAGGGGTGGGATAGGGAGGGTGGGAGGGAGATGCAAGAGGGAGGAGACACAGGGATATATGTATGTGTATAGCTGATTCACTTTGTTATAAAGCAGAAACTAACACACCATTGTAAAGCAATTATACTCCAATAAAGATGTTAAAAAAAAAAAAAAGATGTAGCCCAGGAAATAGCAGGATAATGGTAGATCAGACCATGTCACTCCTGTGCTCAAAACGCATGGCTCCCATTTCACTCATAGTAAAAGCCAAAGTCCTTATGATGGCCTAAACAGTCCTACAGAATCCGGACCTGTTACCTCTCTGACTTCATCGTTTACTTCTCCTCCTTGCTCATTCCACTCTATCTACCCTGGCCTCATTCATCTTCCTTGATCATGCCACAAACACTCTTGCCTTTGTACTGTTAACTTTTCAAGTCTTTTCTCCATTGTCACCTCTTCAATTATATCTTTCCTGACCACCTTTATAAAATTGCAACTGCCTCACCTCAACATTCTCAAACACTCTTCCTCTACTCTTCTTTTATCTTCTAACACACTATGTAATTTACCTAGTTATCATGTTTATCTTCTACTTCCTCTGCTAGAGTTTCATAAAGGAAGAGAATTTTAGTCTCTTGTTCACTAGTATATCTCAAGCCCTATAGTTGGCATGTAGGAAGCACTGAATAAATATCTGTTGAACAAATAGGAATTTAGCATATAATATAGGTCACATCTCAAACCAGTGGTGAAAAGATGGTTTATTCAATAATTGATGGTATTTCTGTGGAGCCACCTGGAAAAAGGTAAAGTTGAATCCATACCCCATACTTTACATCAGAATAGTCTTCAAATTGATCAAATATTTAAATGTGAAAAATTAAGCCATAGAAGTTACACAAGAATAAAATGGGAGAATTCCTTTATAGTGTTCACTGAGTAAAGACTTTCTAATTACAACTGAGAATCCAGAAGCCATAAAAGAAAAAATTGATGGGTTCAACTCTTTAAAAATACCCAAAAATCTGTATGAGAAAAGA